CCCCAAAACCCCAAAACCCCAAAACCCCAAAACCCCTCACTGTCCATAATAGTTGAACATTTTCTAAAAAATAAAATGGACAAGGTAATGCTCCCCACAAAGGAAATTTGTGTCCTAAAAAGGCCAAGAAGAGATCTCTCCTTGGACTACAAGCAGGAAATTTGGGTTTTGGTGCAGGCACCAGTCCTAAGAGGACTGGTCTGGTAGGGAAAATCTGCAAGCAGACTGTCACCAAGAGCCGAGTTGGGTTTTGAGTAGTAGGAAATATTATGAAAACTTAATACCAATTCAGCTATTTGGGGTACTTCTAAGTTATATTGCCTCTTATAATTCTTTCTGAGCATGTTAGAGTGTTTTTCATAATTTAGAACATCGAAATGTTTGATTTTACAGGATTCACTAATTCATATAGTTTGAACCAAAATTAACAATTGGGAAAGAGTTGGTTATGAAGTCAACAAAAGTCGTCGAATTAAAGATCCCTAGTCAGAATTCGGCTCGATATGACACACAAAGCATGAACAGAGCTTCCATGGCTTCTAGATCTCAGTTGGGTTCTTCAAGTCCTATCTCAGAGTCTCGCTCTATAGGTTGTGAACAATTTCCTAATATCCTAAGCATACTGTCTAAAAAGCCATCGGAGAGGGGTAAGAAAGAGATCCAGGAATTATACGAGTACTTCCACAAAGAGTAGGCTTTCCTATGATTTTGTAGAGGTAACAGCTTCTTAGACAAACAAGAGAAGGAAAACGGTCGCAGATGAGTCGATATGATACTAAGAGAAATAAGAGTAAGATTCATTCAAATCCGTAATTCTAGCTCCTCTGTTGGAATAATGCACTTAAGGACAGTATTGAAGAAGAGAAAGAAATAATCCCAGCTGGACAAAACATAATTGAATTTGGAGAAATTGGGACATGATTTTACATAATTCTCAAAGGAAAGGTTGAAGTAAGAGTTCCAGTGGACATAGGGCCTCGTATGTTTACTCTCAAGGAGCTCTGCTTGTACATAATCGATAATAATAGATGGTTAATCAGAGATGGAGAGTACGAAAGAGCTCTATCTTCAATCCACATGTACATTCCAGATGCTACAGTTTGGACTAAATAAGAAGTTTGAGATTAATGCAAAAGAAATACACAAGATGCTGCAAAAATGCTCTGAAAGCAAGCATGTCAGTGCTTGGTGAGAGTTAGAGGAATTTCCATCTTTTCCTAGTGCTGAGCACAGAAAATCTCTGTATAGTAAGGCCAACAGAAGTAATAAACCAGTAAAATCTGATGGTAAAAGATCTTTCAAATTTACACTTCTGACTAAAGTATCTGATCTATCTGAAGGAGTAGGATTCGGAGAGCTTGCTCTTCTGAACAAAGAACCTCGAAGTGCCACAATCACCACAGCTACTGAGAGCATTTTTGCTTATCTTGAAAAGGCAACCTTTAAGGAAGTTATGGGCAATACTTACAAAAGGAAGATCACTGATCAAATGAAGTTGATCGAAAATTTTATGATCATCAACCTTCTACCTGAGAAAAAGCAAGAAAGAGCATGAATCTTGATGAGGCCTCACCCCATAAAGTTTGGAAAGATGCTGATTCAGGAAGGAGAGCCATCTAAGTACATTTATTTGATCATAAACGGACAATTTGAGCTAAACAAAACCTTATTCTATAAGCATAAATAAGCAGTATGCAAAAGAGATTGATGAAACAAGCTTCATTTATAGCCAATATTTTAGCAAAAATAAACGTATTGCGGCTCATTCTGCAGACAATAGTATTGTCTCTAACAAAGAAATCTCTTATCAAGAATTCAAACAATCAACAAAAGGTTACATGAAATCTATTGCAAGACTTCTCTGATTTGACAGATTTGAGATACTGGGTCTAATAGAATGAGCCCTTGGGTGTCCTTATAGCGTATTTGATGTCAAGTGACTCTCAAATGATTCTGAAGTATACAAAATTCGTATTGAAGATTTTAATAATATCATCCATAATAACAAAGAAATCACTGAAACTATACAAAAGAAGATCAGCTTGTTGGATAATAGGATCCATGAGATTATTGACAGGTAAACTCTGAAGCTTAATCCATAGAATTATTCAGAAAAACCAGCAGGATTTCATCATGCATGCCCCCTCTCTCCTAAAAGTAAGTATAAGCTTCCCATAGATATTCTAAAGCTAGTTTAGAATGTAGAAAAGCCTCAAAGATCAAATACTAGAATCAATCTTGGGACAAAAGACCTCTTCCCAGGATTTGAGAAGCTGAGTTCTAAGAACATACTCGATTTGCATGAAGTACCTCAGCCTAAATTAATCAGAAAAACGACATACATGGACTTTCGAGATAATGGAGGTAGGTGCAAAAGATTAAGTTTAGCCCATAAACCTATGAAACTAGTGAATAACCCCCCTCAGACAGTCACAAATAAAGTAATAGTTGACTCTAAGCAGATAAGTGAGCTACTGATCCGTAAAAAGACGTTGAGAGAATCCAAACTCAAGTTTTCTCTTGCAGATTCTTTGAAAAGAGATGAGACTGGAAAATTTTCAAGAGATTTTTCCAAAGATTTCACCGAAAGCCTGTCATTTGCTATGAAGAAGTTTAGAGTAGGAAATCACATTGCTGAAGTAAGCCACAGCTCATTTAACTCCTCTAATATTGAGGAGTTAAAGAATGAGTCAGAGTCTTCTCAAGGAAGCGATCTTGATATGGACATCCTCAGGTTGCAAAAATCTAGGAAAAACATGAGCAAGGCCAAGACAAGGCCTCCTAATTGTAATACTAATGTGAGAAAACGGGCTAACGAAGACCTTAAAATAAGATCTGCACTTCTATCACCAAAGCCATTGAGTACGTTCATTGAAAGCTCCAAGAGTGGCACCTCAAATGTTCAGACTCCTCTTCTGAAAGGAAATAGTGCATTAGGATCAAGTAACAAAAATACCAAGGAGTCTTATAAGCCAATCACTCAAAAGAGATATCAGTTGGATGCAGCCAATAGGAGATTAATTAAAAACAAAAGTGTGAGACTTCTAAGGGCTCCATTTTCACCCAAGAATTACTCTAAGGATCATCAGAGTCCTTGAAAGAAAGTTGGAATAATTCACTTTAAGATCTGTAAATCACTAGGAGGTTTGTTCTCTAGCAAATTTTCTCCAAAGCATAACCAAGAAGCATTGAAGAGCCCACAGATTCGGATTCAGAAGGACCTTATCTCACCACGCAAGAATGTATTTGCGAAATATACTCCCAAAGTATGTCCGGAAACTATGAAAGAGTACTTGAACAGTAAGTGGATTAATAATTAATTTTATGAATTTGTTATTAAAAGCTATCAAAACGGATAAATTTAAGCGTTTTCTTTGATATTTTTGATAGTATTTTTCCAATACAGGCTATGATCAGTGATTTTTGTATAGGCCCAACCTATAAAGGGTCTCAAACTACGAAGATATCTACTTTTAGCTCTCAGAGAAAGTTGAGGAGGTCCAAAAATATCAGGAAAAATCTTCCAAATCTAAACTTCAAGAAGGCTCAAGGCCAAGTCTTGAAAGATTGGCTAAAGAAAGCCTTCAGCTTTGATGATAAACAAGAGTGAACAGACTCTAGTCTGGGAGACAAGCTAGGAAGCTGGACTTGGATCAGGCCTAGCAAGATGAAAGACCCAAGATATCTTAGGTTTCAGACATCCACAAAAACTTCTAAACCTAAATCTAAGAAGCTGAAGTAAGTATTTAAAATTTGTCAGACTTGCAATATTTTTAAAATGTTAACTGTATCAGCTGTAGTCGCTTATTCTGACACTTATTTTACTCTGGTCGTCCTGAAAATTTTGACTTAACCAACTTTAGAATCTTACCTAAGACAGAAGGAACTAACAAGGAGTTTAATAAATTATGCTAAAAAAAGTAGTCAAAAGAGATCTAGTTATCAACTTCTTTGGTGCTTCTTTAAGCAATAATCTCTATCTTTATTAAAATTTATTCATAACATCATAAGGTATTGCTTTCCATTGATTGGCTCTAATTTAGTTTCAAGAGAATTAGAGTATCCTGGTGACATTTCAGGACTCACATATATTCCTCAATATCGTATTAAAATTTGGGGTTTTGGGGTTTTGGGGTTTTGGGGTTTTGGGG